TATATATACTGTATGTACACACATACACAGCCAGGCCAAAAAAAATGTCGCCACCTACATTGACCACCACAGAGTCCACTGAGAATCTTTGGGATGTGCTGGAGAAGGCTTTGCATAGCGATCAGACTCTGCAATCATGACCATAAGATCTCTGTGAAAATTGAATGCAACATTGGGTGGAAATAAATCTTCTTACGTTGCAAAAGCTTATCCAAACAATGCCGCAGCGAATGTGTGCTGTAATCAAAGCTAAAGGCGGTCCAACTAAATATTAGAGTGTGTGACCTGAGACGGCCTGCATGTTTCAAAAGATTGAGCACTCTGGWACAAATGCAATGCCAAATTGGAAGGGGTGGTATGTAATTGTATACAATTTATCATGGCAAGATTTCTGCTTAGAAATGGATATAATTATTATTTTTCATTGGCTAGCTTCTGCCTATTAGAAACAAGCACTTCTATCAAATCTAAATAATAATTGTCGGTAAGAAACAGAGTTTCATAGATGTGCTGACCTAAATTTAACATAGTTACCACATTCAGCTTCACCAGCTTGTCGTTGCACTTAACAAAATGGCCACTATCTCTTGACCAAGAAAAATCACGATAGCTCCTCTAGCCAATACACCTCATTGGGTGTAGCTGCCAGCACACATCACTGCTTCACTCCATTAGCCTCCCTAACATCTCTGGACCGGGTGTTCAACATTGAAACATTGACTTTCATATTACTGTGAAATTCTTTGACCAGGTTAGTAAACTTCACAGATTAACAATTCTTTTTGAGTACTTGCCACAATCCCTGATTAAATGAGTTSTTGAAAAGGACAAATAGACTTTTATGCTATAGTAGAGAGAATTACTGTCTGCTGTAACACATACAATTCACCAGTTGCTTCTAGTCAAAGATGCTGACTGGTCTGAAAAAACAAACTGTTGTTGAACCGATTAAACAAACTGGAGTTATCTCACAAATTATCTCAACAATTTAACATCAATGCAAGATTAAAAAAAATAAATCAAAGCCAACATAATCTTTGTATAACATATCTTTTGGTTGTTTAACTTGCAAACCTTTTAAGCAGAATTTTTACACATCAAACACACTGGGGAATATCCACTGAGGAAATAAGATGTTTCGGAACATTGGGCTCTCTTAAGTAGAGAAATGTGAAAGCAGCATGAGCAAGGCGATGAGTCATGCGTTGTTGGAGGTAGGTTCCGTGTTGTAATCAGATGCAACTGCTGCTCCCGTGACTCAGAGAGAGGGGAAAAAGTGAAGCTGAAGAAGCAGTAGAAGGAGGGAAGGAAGCTCAGAACACACGTTCCAGATTTTTACCCCATGCAGAGATTGGGGTGTGTGTTTCTGTGGGTTTATTTGGGAAGAAAGTTTGGAAAAGAAACTGGGTTTRTGGTTTTCCTGCTCCACTTTGCTTGTTTGTGTATTTTCTACGTGACAAGCCCTGGCCACTCTCTCATGGGATTTTAGGAAACCTTGCCCTCCCTCCACCTTTCGGTTTTTCCTCTGTCACTCTCTGGATTGTGTTTGCTTTCTCCCTCACAAACTGACTGAAATGCTTACTTGTTCACTTGTTATCTGATGAAAAAGCTTTTTCGCTCAGTGAGTTGTGCTGAGAGACAGAATGAGTTTGGCATACAAATGAAACAATGACAACTTTGTTCAAGGTTTGTTTATCTTAAAAATGGTCCTTTTTGAATTTGAGCATTTTCAGTCGTTTGCTGACATTCCTGCACGTCTCTCTTCCAGATTCCAGGTTTAATGTTTCTTTCAGAAGCATATGAACTCTGTCACAGATTCCTGGAATATGACATAAAATCAGGATTACATACAGCGGGTAAAATAAGTATTGAACACATCACCATTTTTCTCAGTAAATATATTACTAGAGGTGCTAATGACATGAAATTTTCACCAGATGTCGGTAACAACCCAAGTGATCCATACATACAAAGAAATCAAACCATAAATGTCCAGAAATGAAGTTATTTGTAATAATGTGGAATGGCACAGGGAAAAAGTATTGAACACGCTTACTGAAATTTATCTAATACTTTGTACAAAAGCCTTTGTTGTCAATGACAGCTTCAAGACGCCTCCTGTATGGAGAAACTAGTGGCATGCATTGCTCAGGTGTGATTTTGGCCCATTCTTCCACAAACAGTCTTCAAATCTTGAAGGTTTCGTGGACCTCTTCTATGAACTCTGATCTTTAGTTCTTTCCATAGATTTTCTGTTGGATTCAGGTCAGGTGATTGGCTGGGCCATTCCAGCAGCTTTAGTTTCTTTCTCTGAAACCAACTGAGAGTTTCCTTGGCTTTGTGTTTGGGCTCATTGTCTTGCTGAAATGTCCAGCCACGTTTCATCTTCATCATCCTGGTAGATGGAAGCAGATTTTTATCAAGAATGTCTCTGTACATTTTTCCACTCATCCTTCCTTCAGTTATTTGAAGTTTGCCAGTACCATATGCTGAAAAACAGCCCCACACCATGATGTTCCCACCTCCAAACTTCACTGTTGGTATGGTGTTTTTGKGCTGGTGTGCAGTGCCATTTGACCTCCAAACATGATGTGTATTCTGGCATCCAAACAGTTCAATGTTGGTCTCATCTGACCAGACTATATTCTCCCAGTATTACACAGGCTTGTTTAAATGTWGTGCAGCAAACTTTAAACGAGCTTCAACATGCTGTTTCTTYAGCAGTGGAGTCTTGCGTGGTGAACGTGCATACAGGCCATGGTGGTTCAGTGCATTACTTATTGTTTTCTTTGAAAAAATGAATTTGTGGGCTCATTTTACTCACCCTTCCACCTCCRTGTTTTTTTTTGAATACTCAGAGGAGGACAGAACACGCATAAAATACATACATAATAGGTACAGTGGCTTCAATAGGCCTTTATGCACTGCAAAGACCATCCTGGCTTGGCTTCAAACCTGGGTACAGTGTGTTTGCATTAGCCCTTATGGCCCAGTTCCACCCCGGTTTCTGGAACCTTGAGACCCATGGTTCTGTCCAGGCCTGGCTGCTCGACCTGATTTGATGTCAGCTACTGCTTCTCATTGATTGGTTCACTGACCTTGGGGGGGATACGTCACACAAATGARAGTAACTTTACATGAATCATTCGCAGTGACTGTAACAATTTGTTTCACACGARTTTAATTACACTACAACAGTAGCGAGCTACCAAATAACAACAAGCTAACAAAAAGMTAACATTAGCTTACCATTGTCTTCCAKTGCCCTCTCATCTCATCCCTCTCAAGAATCGTACTGCTGAATGGTCTGGGACAGCTTTCGGTACTTTTCCTTCAAGTTTGGTGTCATCCATTATTTTTGTGTTGCAAATAAATGAAGATTTGCATGTGTTTAATGTTATGATCCCATCCACATTGAGGCRGCCCTCTGCTCAGTGCAAACACAAACTGGTCCGAGGTATAATAAGGCCAGGCTGACTGGGTCTTACGATACAAAAAGGCCTAAAATAACAGAGTTTTTATCACCCTGTCGCCAAGTTTGAGCTCAGCAACCCTACAGGGGAAGCTCAGTTCAGCCATATGTATCCACTAACTCGTACTTTTGATCTTGAATCATGCATCTCGACTAGTGTATCAAGAGCTTTACCATATTGCTCAGCTCCTTCTACACCTCCTCTCATCACTACAGACAAAACCCTTAGTCATTTCCTGCTTCATCAGTTATGAACAAGATTCACAGATATTTAAACTCCTCCACTTGAGGCAAAGATTCCCCCCTGCTRAGTTGCCACTTTATTGTGGTGGAATGTGTTGCCTGGGGTGTTGGCCTCTGATAGGGTCTCAATGGCAAATTGGCCTTAGGATAAGTCAGGCGAAGCAAATCCAAGACTTTAATGAAGGAAGCCCTAAAAAAAACAGGTTACCTTGCTTGGAATATGGAAACCAAGGGACTGTACCAGAGCCAGACTTTGGGGGGAGGGAGCTTACTGGTGAGCTCCTGGTGGTCAAGTTTTGTTTCCTGGTGCTCAGCAGGGTTGACACAAAGGTTAGAAAAACTATACTCATTGGTGTACTAGGGGTTTCCACAGTCTATTAATTTTAAATTAACACCTGAACTTTCTCAGCCTTTAGATCATWTTTTGTGTTTTTGATTGGGAGCATAACAGCTCTTTGTGGAAATTAGGTGAGTCTGATGGTAAGACRTCACAAAAATAAAGGATTCAGAAAAATCAGTGACAAACAAACATGGTTTCAACAAAGTGGAGACAACTGCTAACTGAAAATCTTTGAGAAATCAGGATAAGTCAACTTTCATGAGCTCGTCCAAGAATAAAAGAGTTCTCATGGGCACAGAGCTATAGGATTTTAATAACTTTGTTTATTAGTTTTTAAATAAAACTATTARTAYTGTTAGCAGATTMTTTGGTTGACTAGCATGAAGATTCAGCTCAGACGGAGTCCAGAGTGTTTACTCACACAGTGTTTACTTACTTTAGTAGGTCCGGTCATACGCTGACGAGTCTCAAAACAACACAGCTAAACCTGCAATGATAAAGTGTTCTCACAGGGCAACAGGGTAATGGTGTAAAGAATTCCACAGAAGCAGATAAACAAAGTCATTAGCTTTGTACGAAAGTGATTCTTTTTCATAATCATCGCTAACTTAATGTTGTTTTGACTGTCAAAAATAATTTCCAAGTTTGTTTGTGACATTTTTTGCCCCAAAAAACCCACAACTGYACTATTTGTGAAAATGTGTAACTGAGAGCACTGGAGGACAGGCATCTGTTTCATAACTCAAAACACAGAATAATGCAGCAAAAATCTGATGAAAGTGTCGATTTAAATCCTTCAATTGAATCCACATTGAAGAATGCGGATCAAACAATAATGCTCTTATTCTTGGGATTCTGGCTAACAAAATRCAATGAAAAATGTTTTTGATCTCAAGGACAGTGTTTTATATTCGTTCCTATTTTTTGACATACATGGATACTGTAAAGAAAATCTACTGTAGATAAAAAAAGGTGTTTTTGTTGTCAGAGGAGGAATGAATATGAAAATGACATTTAGTCCAAATCTCAGATGGTACATCTTGTGGTTTTTATGAGGCAGACAGATGTTACAGACTTAAAAACAGAAACAAAATGGAGCCTATTAACAATGAATTAGATACATGTATGACTAGTGAAAATATTTAGCTTCTTTATATCACCTGAGAAGATAAAATTAAGCCAGCTGGAAACACGTCATAAAAGTCCATCTGACAGCAGAAATCAATTCAGCATGTGCCCCCAGGAGAAGTGGGTGATCATGTAACTGCCTGTTTCTGGTTGTGTTGGTTTAACTGTGTTTAAAATGACAAATTGCCTCCCCACACGCCTCACACGACTTACTGAGCTTCGTAGGCTAAACGCAAAGGGACTATAGCATAACAGGAATGTGTTGAACACATCTCCAGCTGCACTTCATTAGGCGTCGACTCAGCGGGAATTAGGGCTGAGTCATGCGTCAACATGGGACTTGTCATAGTCTGATTGATTCAGTCAAGACTTTTGTTCGGTGGTGATGATGCGGGACGTAAACCAGTCGGAGCGGACTGAACGTGCTGTCATGAGGTCACTTAAAATGCAGGACAGTCGCTGTGTTAGGTAGACACTGTGCATGTTCCTTTTTCACAGTTTATGAGCTGGATAGCAAATCTTTTTTTAAGCTGAACCATATGTACACTTCAAAAAATAAGTTCTTTTGTATTTCTTCCAGTGAGAAAGGCAGGCATGTTTTATATAGATCTGAGGATTTTTATAGTGTTTTTAGTGTGTTGGCGTGTTCTCAAAAATGCAATTTTTCTTTTTCAGATTTATTCTTTGTTTCTTTTGTATAAGCCCCCCCTTGACCACCTCAGGTTACATGAGTTATGTTACAACTTACATAACACAAATACATGAAATGAGGGTTAGAAGCTACACTAAAAGTATTTTAGTCATAAAGCTTTCCAGGAACACCCCTCTGGATCTCACGTGTGCTGAGCTTAGCAGTTTGAATCTGTACAGTAATCTTAATTGCACAATTTTTGAGTTGGAGTGCCTCTTGGCAAGCTGTGAAAAGATTGTAGAATGAAGCTGCATTAATACCAGTTCATTAGGAAAAAAATCATCTGCCAAAATCACACTGCACATGTGCCCAGTTAAGTGCCTCGGCAAATCCCTGAGCAGAAATGTAACTTCTGTGTTTTTAAACTACAATCAGTCTTGGCAAAATGTCAGGCATCGGTAAGACTTTTCAGTTCAACGTCAGCTTGTTAGGCTGTCGTTCTAAAGGCTCTGTGGTCAGAAATGTCACGACAGAGAAATTCTGAGTGAAATGAATCATTATTAACCCATAAATTGCAAAGGTGCCTTAAAATTGATGTGGTCTCCTAGTGAAGCTTATGTTTACAGCAATAACAGTACAAAAATGTTTCTCTTTTCTCAGAGAGGTTTAGTCTCCTCCTAAGGGACACTTTTTGGCATTAAGGGAAGAGCTTTTAATAAAGGAGAGATGAAGAAGGAATATTTCTTTGTGTATTCAATAACTGTTATTAATTCTTTTTTTATTATTTCAACTTTATAACGTGTTCCTGCCTATCAGATGACCTTCTTGGGTTGGAGATGGCATTTTATTTTTACACACACACAAATACTGTAGTAAATTAAAAGGTCCAACGTCTCTTGAAGGCATGCATATTATCCTGTCACGAGTCTCACCTTTGCCTTGTCAACTGCCACACCCACCTCTTGCTGTCAAGTAATCATCCAGATCTGGTGCATCTGTCCACACCACCATGTAAGCTCCAGCCTTGCCTTCGGTCAGTGCCAGATTATCCTTGCTTCCAGTGACTCACCTTTGGATTCATACCCCTGCTTATTGCCCCACACTACACCTTCAGCCTTACCCCTGGATTTGTTTGCTTCTCTCAGCGTCACGGTACATGGCCCTTGGTCTGTCTCTGGATCTTGATTCTTTGGACCGCTCCACAGTGCGAGAAGGGACACTTCCACATTCCTCATCAACTGCGAGCTCAAACCAAGCAACACCTGCAATCAAACCTGACCAGGACTCGGTTCCATTCAGAAAAAGTTAGTGGCTGTTTCCTTTCACTCTCTACAGCTCCAGATTTCCCACTCAACTACTAACCTGTTGTTTTCTCCTTACAGAGGTCCGGACGCAGTGTTCGTCACTTCCTGTTTCTCCCGCAGCGATTGCCACTAATAAACTGTTTAAAACTTTTTCTGTGTTCGGCTGTGCTTTTGAGTCCTAAAATCAAACCGTTTCACCATCACCTTTTATWTCAGTTTTAAATTCAGATAGTCTTATTGTGAGAAGGGACTGAATTGTAGATTTTATAATGTTATGAACCACACCACATTTGAGCTTATTTTGCATACCTGTGGTGGCCATCTTGAATGGACTCTGAAAGTTAACCAGTTTTACATCCATTTCTAATAGTTTCATGGAGATCCGTCTAGTGGTTCTTGAGCTGCCRGTTCGGATGTTATCAGTCCATTAAATGGACTTTATTAGCGGTTATCAGTCCCATAGAATGGCTTCAGATTGTCTTGACAGTGCCCCCTAGTGGGTTACCAGAGCCATATACATTGGAATGCAACAATCTGCTACCGCTGGAGTCCGGTCTACTTTATCGTAGCCCATGTCATTTTCTCTAAAATTAACCTTAGTGGTTTTATGCCTTATACTAACCAGCTGACAGTCTGAAGCCATTCTATGGCACTGATAACGGCTAATAACRTCAATTTAATGGATGATAACATCCAAAGCAGGTGTTCTTGAGATATTTTGCCAACACAACAGCCACAAATACACAGGCAAAAGCAATGACCACTCAGTGGCAGACTATCTCTTCAAAAAATAATCACAGATCAGTTTTCAAAATCTTTTTTTTCTTCTTGTAAAATTTCCAAAGAGCCTCTCAAAGTCSTCCCTGTTTGTGCGATAACCATTAAAAGTTATTCTCTCAGTCAGTAAGGACCAGATTGTGTTTCACATGCAGCTGCCAAATGCAGCAGTGTGTTCATTAAGGTCCAGTTTAAAGACTATAAATCCTCTGCTGTATATTTCAGTGCAGACTCTTGTCTCCTCTTACCTTTTAAAGTATCTTCAAACAGAGCTGAAAGTGCTTTAACCTCAGCTTTACAGTTATTACCTGCATTCTACATGAACTGTAGCTGTCTCTTTTTAGTTTGATTTATGTTGGAAATGATGAAAATGATGATGGTGATTACGGTGTAATCTATGTTCAACATAAAATAAAGGCCCATGCTAGTTTTTTGTAGTATTTTATATATTATTTTTAACTTTGCACATAACAAAACAGTCAATCATTTTGCATCAAAGGAACAAGTGGGTTAAATGGATGGATGGATGGATGGATGGATGGATGGATGGATGGATGGATGGATGTGTTAGAGCATGAAGCCTGGAATATATCTGGGATTACAAACAACCTGTTGATACTCAGATGTTGGTCATCTGGAAAAGTTTAGTGTGATGAAGAAACCAGTTTAATTCAAGACTATAGAATGGATAAAGTTATGGTACATATTTAAATAAAGATCAGCAATTTCCTAAAGGAATATCGCTCACCGCCTTTCTTGCCAGAATTGTAAACTAAGAATTTCTTATGTTCAAACCTTGTAAGTTACATTATGGTAAAAACTGGTAAATGGACTGAACTTATATAGCACTTTATCAAGTCCCTCCGGACCCCAAAGCGCTTTACACTTACTGACATTCACCCATTCACACTCACATTCACACACTGATAAGCTACATTGTAGCCACAGCTGCCCTGGGGCACACTGACAGAAGCGAGGCTGCCATGCACCGGCGCCACCGGACCCTCTGACCACCATCAGTAGGCAAGGCAGGTGAAGTGTCTTGCCCAAGGACACAACGACTGAGATGGCATTATAAATTATTATAAAGTTACAAATGAACAAACACATTATAGCCTTTTTGTCTTCAACAGATGATAGTAGTGCAATTGTTGCTCAGTACCCAAACCTCTCAACAAATGGCTAATTAGCAAAAAATTATCTGGCCCATGTCTGGACCACATAATGCAAAAACACTCGTCTCAGACACTACAAAGAATGACAGCCCTTTGGTGGCCCAGATATAATTTGCCAGCGGTGGTCAATGGTTTGGCCAGCACCACATAAAACAAAATCCAACCAGGCCAGTTGTGGCATTAACAGGTTTGGGACACAAAAACCAAAACCACAGATGGTCCAATTGGGGCTTGGTTAGACTTTTAAAGAAATAACCTGCAAAATCAACTAATACAAAAAGCTTCCCCTTTAAAACAATGATAAACACAAACAAATAAATAATACAAGAGACTGGAGACAAGAAAATAAACAAATAACACACATGGAAGAGAACAAAAGTTTTAAACCGTTTCAGCTGTAGAAGCTGATAAATGTCAGTGTTCACAGATTTGTTGTTTATTTTTAGCTGTTATTTTACCTGAACCTTAAAAATTTTGGTGTATTGTTCCCAACACAAGGAGTTCTAAACAAAAGGACCATTGTTTAAATGAAGTTTTGTACCTTACTGGTTTACAGAATCTATTGCTTGTTCCCCTTGTTGAATCTCTTCTATACCTGACTTTTACAATTCCTTTATTAACTAAATCTAAAACAAGAACATTAACACACCTAAAATCTGAGTTATAATTGAAAAATGTACAAAACTAAGATTATATGGTATGGTTTTTGATTTATAATTGCCAAAGCTTGTTTATACGACATCAGTGGTTCATTTTGTGTGAGTGTTTGCTTGAACCAAAAACACTTAAATGAAAGAGAAAATGCAACAGCATTATAGCACGCAAATGTAACTAAGCAGCCTTTACAAGTAAACATGGACTCATAAGATGAAAGCAAAAAGTATGAGTTGTTTTGGTTTTAGACACTTCTTAAAATGAGCTTTAAATATAAAATTGAAATCCAAAGCARTGCCCAAGTGTTTGAACTAGTCTCATTTTTGGATTTCTTTCTGTTTAGTAACAACAGATTATTTACTGACACTTCATGTCATATTTACAGCATATTGAAACAGTTTTGTTGCACTTCAAAAGKGTCTTTTGTGGAGTTTCTGTAGCTACATATAATTATCATCTCTATATATTTGGTACTAAACATCTTCACAAAAATTCAGGTATTTCCTTAATTTTTCGTGAGCAAAAAGGAGGTGGTCCTAAAACGAAACCCTGTGGATCTCCATTTTTACTGTTATGTTCATACTACTGACTTTGACACGTTAAAACACTTCTCCGGTCCTTTTTCTCAAATTAAAAGTCCATCCTGTTCAAAAAGCTTTAATTTTCTTCCAAACAAAACACTTACGCTATAAGTATTTACCAGAGTTTCATTCCCAAATTTAGACAGTTTTTAAACTTTCCTTCAATGTTTTATTGTGTATAAAACATTAACTTACAGTGTCTCCCTTCCATAATCAGACTTATGAATTTTTTTTTTTATTATGTACATATCTGGTAAGTTCTATAAATAAATCTCCCAAATATTTATATCACGTGTGTTTCATGCCTTTGTCACTTTTACGGTTTATTTCATACAGCTTCTCTTGGCTACAACACCTTTCATGAAGTATATACAGATTTTCTTGTGGTTTGACCTTTTGGCTTTTTGTAGCATTGCTTGAAATCTTGACATTCACCAATAACTCATTTTCTGTTTGGAAACAAGGGTCTTTGTTCGGTGAAGTGAATCATTTAAAGATGTTTCAACGTCAGACTTGGGCTGTTGAGTAAAAACTGGGGGTTTTCTAAGGTTGTATGCTGATTTGCAATGCCTTCATGTCCAGTCATGCATCAGCTTGACTTTCTTTGAACACAGATACATACACCTTTTCATTAACTCCATCCATCCATCCATCCATTTTCTTCCGCCTATCCGGGGTCGGGTCACAGGGGCAGCAGCTTCAGAAGTGAGGCCCAGACCTCCCTCTCCCCAGCCACTTCTTCCAGCTCCTCCGGGGGAACTCCAAGGCGTTCCCAGGCCAGCCGTAAGACAAAGCCCCTCCAGCGTGTCCTGGGTCTTCCTTGGAGCCTCCTCCCGGTGGGACTTGCCCGGAACACCTCACCAGGGAGGCGTCCAGGAG